AGCATGGCTAATTCCAGATGAGAAGTCACTAAGATATGCTCCATGGTAGTTATCAATTCATGTGGTAGCTCCAAATTCACCCTCTAACGCGGGTTCTGTAATAACGCGCAGAATTCCTTTAGGCATCTCTCCTTGACAGTAGAGGGTGCTGGAGGACCAGTGTAGGAGGAAGGGGGCTCTGCTGTGGGGCTGCTGCCCAGTGGGCCTTCCTGGTGGGTCTGATGGTGCTGCTTCAACTCAGGGTCCCAGATCACGCGGCTCCTCAGGGCCCCCGCAGCTGTGGCCTGTGCTGGGGATAGCCTTTTGGTTCTAGGTGTCCTGTCTGCACTGGCACCCCGACTCCCTCCGTAAGCACACACCCTGACCCCACGCTGGCCTGCCACTGCCGGCATCCAGAGGGCTGCTTCCTGTCACCAGTGACTAAACCAGCCCCGCCCAGGATGCCAGCGAATGTCTCTGCCATACAGTGGACTGCAACTACCCCTTCTCCAGGGAGCCTCGCCTCCCTTCCCTGGGAACTCTTCCTCCATTCCAGGGTAAAATACAGTTTTCGTCTATCTCACCATCTCTTATCAGAGCTTAATAAGTCTTTATATTTAACCTCCTGTTTGTGTGTTCCTCTCCCAGTTGGTCACAGACTAATACAACACATTTCACACTTAGCAACTGGTAACTGCCAGCAGAAAAGACATAAAGATTCCAAGTTACTAGTGATACAATAAAAAAAAAAAACTTTCAGTGCATGGCCATGTAGTTAATTATCAAATAGACTATTGAACACATACTAATAGACCATGTATATCATTTGTCCGTGACATTTATATTTGTGATAAGACACGTCACCAGCTTAGTTAGGGTCTGCTTTTATATAACAAATATGTTGCTGAAAAGAGAACATGTAAGTAATTTCTCTTTCTTAATACAAAGCTGACCCACACCAAATAGTGTAAAATAAAAAGCACACACACACACACACACACACAAGCAGCTTCCGAGATGCTGAATAGTAAATTTAGGCTCACAAAGAGCACTACTCTTTCATCAATATCATGCAAATGTAAATATCAACACCTGGTATCAACAAACAGAACTGTCTTAATACCAGCTCAGGTAAGAAAGGGCTTACTGTTCACCAGGTAAAAGATACAAGCCTGGGTGCACGAAAAATGACTTAATAGCACAGAATTCTTGGGCTTTGCAAAGTTGGACAGCTTAGCTGGTGACTTCTGTGTCTACCACAAGCCACACAAAGAAAGGATGCTGTTCTGATCAATAAAAAAATCAGAATGTAAATTAACACAACATGTATATTGAAAATACTACCCAATAAAAGGCCATCTTCAACAAGAACGACTAATAAACAGTTTCGGTAATGATGAAAACATTGGCGAAAACAGATCTTCTCCAACATTGCAAATCCATTCTCTACTGAAATGGCCCATTTTCAGGAAATGCTCTCTTTTGGTAGAAACCACCACCTCCCCAATTCCCCTGTCATTTTGCCTGCTCATCTCTGTGATTCCAGTAGTACCTCTGCTCATCCTCACTGTGGATGTAACTTTAGTTTTGGGGTTCCTGTAAAGCTGTCCCTAGAGAACTGGGTCACCCCGGAACGGTATCACTTCGAGGCCCCCTGGTCCTTGGCAAGGAAGTGGTTTCCTGCTGTCGCTCAGAAACTGTCCACAACCCAGAATGCTGTGGTCATTTTACCTGTGGAAGTAAGTGCTAAAAGGCTGCTTGCCCCGTCACCTTGTGACTAGGATGGAAAACCTGCCAGCACCCCGTTTCTCATCTATGACAGGGACAGTATAAACACAAGCACCTTTTAGGCATGGAAAACAGTACAGCAGGGGAGCTGCAGTCAGAGCGACTCCTTCTGGTTGCCAATCTGGGGAGGAAAAATGTCGCTATTGTCAACACTTTTGCTACCCTCTGTACTAGTTGGTTAGTTTGTGGCTAGCAGTGGATTACTTAAGAGTGGTTTACCACTAAAGTCAGGAAGAGAGACAGAAAAGGCTTAAGTCTGGTCTAGGATAACACAATCAGTGCCAAATTGCAGGGTTTTTTGCCCCTGCATCGATTTCAAAGTCATCTTTGAGCCTAACCATGGGCTGTCTGAGAACCCAGAATCTGAATTTCAACCTACTGATGTTATTAGTACATGACAAGAAGTGGATTGACAGGAAGAAAAGTAAGATACAAATATTATCCAAACTTAACAGATGGGATAATAACATCACTAAACGAAATCAAATTAATGTGGGAAATGTCTGTCTATAATTTATCTCAGACAAGTAGTTCCACCCATCCCCAAAGGCAGAATCCTACATAGGTGTGGTAGCTCATTAGAATGACAAATAATGAGCCCCAAAGCAACATGCAAAGTAGCTACAGGAACAGATGGCTGGCTTCTCTGGGCTTGCAAGGCTGAAGCACAATCAGTCTCTTATATCAGGGAAGGGTCTTGAACAAAACAGTCCCCCCAAATAGTCTTCCACTTAACCCAGTAGTTACCATCAATTATTTTAATGACAAGACAAACACAGGTTTTCCCCAAAAACCTGTTTTGCTAAGAAGAGTTGCAAAAAGAAAATGGTTAAACACCCTGGCAGTTTGGAAAGGAAGGCATTTTTCCTTAATACTCATATTCTGTTTCCATCTGAGGCGGTGAGATCAGAAGGAAACTTTTAAAAAGCAGATTATCCATATATTCTTATGGGCTCAAATGGGTTTTACAGACAGAGAATTAGCATCTTAGGAAATCTAGGCCAAAATCCCATTAATATTCATCACTGTTCTGCAGAATAGATGGTATCTGTGTGGTTCATTAAATTTCCTCTTGAATGAAAGGAAAAACACAAAAATGCCACCATGACTTAGTTCACAGATGTGGGTCAATTCAATAGGGGACATCAACTTCGTAAGACAATAAAGGAGTGAGGCGGACGCATAGAGAGATGTCCCATATTACATACGATACACAAACGTTACTCTTTAGTCCCGGGGAAAAAAGAACCCTCCCCCACGATAAAAATGCTTCAATCTAGAGGGATGAAAAAGCAAAATGAGAAAAGCACTTACCTTGGCAAACAGTACTAGAAAATTATATTCTGAAAGATGTTCACATTTCCTTTGGTAATTACAAATGAAGGAAGGATATTTTGCCAAACCCTATAAACAGTTTGAAGGTATTAATTCCTCTGTTGTAAATTTAGGTAACGAGGCTGGTCCAGACCAGTACTGTCTAGTAGTACTATAATGCAAGCCATAGATGTAATTAAAACATTTTTCTAGTGGCCACATTCAAAGTTTAGTATTTAACATAACCCAACATATCCCTAAAACTATCATTAAAAATGTAATCAATATAAAAATTATTAATGAGCTATTTTACATTTTTTTCATACTAACTCTTCAAAATCTGGAATATATTTTTATACTCACAGCACATCCCAAATTCAACTAGGTAATGTCAAGTGCTTAATAGTTCTATGTGGCTTGTTGGGATCATGCTGGGGTAGCACTGTGCTATACTATAGCTTTCATTTTCATAACATTAATCATACATATTTGCACTGGAGTTATTTTTTCAGTGGGAAGTTTGGTTACAGTGAATCTTATTATACAACCAAAAAATGATGTATATTTTGAGTGTGGAGTGCTGTTTTATATATAAAGGTCTACATCTTTGTGTAATTCATTATAAGCAGTGCCAGATTTTTAGTTGATATACTTTCAAATGCCAGGGTCTTTGGTCTATTAAAAATGCTGTCCTCTGTTTAGCAGGAGTCTCAGAAGATAAGACTGCATTGTATTTTCTTGTTCTTATACTAACCAATCTGTTTATCAATCCGAAAACCTGCTACTGCCACAACTCACTGGCTTATATTCACATGATGCGGGTCTTTCTTATTCCGCTTAACGATTATTTAATGATGAGTCTAGGTCCAGGACAATTTCCTATGACTCAAACAAGTGGTTTTTAAAATGTTCTTTTCCCTATAATATCTTTTACCTATTTTGGCCTACGGATGTAAGCCTATTATGTGTTGAAATACTAAGAAAATGTGCATATGTAAACAGGCAGTCTTTATAAAGATTTCCTTCTGGTGAAATTCTGGAGCAGAAAACCAAATCATGACATTCATTTCCTTCTGAATAACTGGAATTGATGAGCCTTAAAATAGCTTCAAAGAAGAAAAACTTCTGGAGTGTAGAGAGGTTTCCAAAGTACATCTCCTGGCTGATAATGCTGACAAGCTGAAAATTAGCAAACAATTAAACACACAATATATGCATTTAACTTTATTTTCTCCAAATAGAATAAAATTTCATATGCTTTTCATACTTCTGGAAACGGCTTCAGAAAATGTTTCTACTCTGAATATAGGTTCTCTTTAACAGTTAAACAAGTATAACTGATAAGAGATTTAAGTGTAAAGAGCTTTTAAAAATTAACACTTAACAACGTAAGACAATAGGAAAAAGGTGAAATACTTGGAAGAGGGATTTCCAAGATGAAATAAGAATTCCCATAATAAAAATGTTCAACTCCCTAGTAATCACATATATGTAAAATAAAATCACAATGAGATACCATTTTGCACTCAACTTGGCAAAAATTTGAGTTTCATGATCCCAAAAGTTGGTGAGGATCTAGATAACTGGAAATTCTAGTATACCAGTGGGAATGTAAATTCATACCATTGCTTTGAAAAACAATTTGGCCTTATCTATTTAAGTTGATGATGTGCTGTATTATATGACAAAGCAATCCTAGTCAAGGTATACATCCACTCTTATGTATGTGTACCAGAAATCACATAAAAATGTTCATAACAACATTTCCTTTTTCTGATGAGAAGTTCAAATCCAGAAACAGAAGAGAAAAACTGTGATACAATCTTACAATGAAATGAAACTTAACAGTGGAAGAAGCAAACTAGGGTACTTGTTTCAAAATGATAATGCCCAATTGCAATGATCAAAAAAGAAGTGAGAAAAGAAGAATTTCATTTCATTTATTATTACTTAATAAGGATACATACATGGAGGTAAAATGATAAAGGACAGAAAGACTATGATAACAGAGTTCAGGAGAAGGGCTCCGCCATCAAACTGGGACAGGACAGGGTCAGGGAAGAGTCACGGTGCTTGAAAGGAAAGGCAATAGCTGGTCACAGGCTTATAGGGGTTTCTTTGTTACACTTTACATTTTAGTGAGTACATATGTATTTCCTATGTGTGTGGAGGCATATATGTTCCACTGCATGTATGAAATAATTTTACATTGTAACAAACATAGGCAAGGATTATACATGTTTCAGATGATGCCCATTGCCTGGAGTGCAACTCCCTCAGCTCAACTCTGTCATTCACCACTGGGCTGTCGCTGAAGCTTTGGTTCCTCTTTCTCTCATCCTTGGGGGTGGAGACTCGCCCTGCTTAGACAGGACCCGTAACATTCTGAGGCCTCCACGCCTGCTGATCGAAAGGATGACTAAACTAACCTGACCTGCATTTCTAGAAGAACTAGGAAAACTTTGAAAGTCAGGGTTACAAAGAGGGTGGCTTATTTGGCTTCATGATTTAGCACATTCTGCAAACTTACAGCCTGTTCTCTACTCTCTCCTCCTTCCCCCTCCCTCTGTCTCCGTGTTTAAGGTTTGAAATAGTTTGGTGATGAGCTCAGCTTCAGACAGTGCCTTCAGAAATGCTTGCTTCTGCTTTCAGAGGTGGCTGCATCAAAGGGGGCCCCTCTATTAAAGGTGGCAGCTACACTGTACTTGTTTTCTACCTCCAATTAGAGGAACAAATCCACCAGCCAGGGGCTTCGGTGTACTCAGAAAACCAATCCTCTATTAAGCCAACCAAGGGACCAAGTGATTTAACGCCATCCTTGGTCCCAGGTGCCGTCTGAGATGATTCTGATAAGACTTAGATGGTCACCTCCCATCACACACACACACACACACACACACACACACACACACACACACACCAGCATGCGCATCTCCTCAAATGGTCAAACGATATGTCTACATTTTTATAACTAATCTGCAGATATGGGGCTCATGGATGAGAGTGGAAACCCAGCATCCTAAATAAACAGGAAGGTTTCAACCAAACACGAAACTAACATTAGAAAAGGTGTAAGAAAGGGAACAAACACTCAATTTTCAGAATATGTGTTTTCTGGAATTTATTCCTTTTAAATGTTGAATATAAAATCTGAGATTTCACCAATGCCTTTAGGGACAAATGCATACAAATTGAAATCTAAAAATAACAATTATGCAGATCAAAGTGGCCCTGACACTTAAGAAAAGCTGCTAAATAAAAGCATTTCTAGGAAAAGCAAAACCCTCGGTAGCAAAATCAAATTTTAAAAAACCAAAACAAACAAACAAACAAACAAAAAAGAGACTTTGGTACCTTTCAATAACAGGAAAAAATAGGTTTAGTTCATATAAATCCATGTAATACAAAAACATCTATGTGGGAATGTTGAATAAATCTATAAAACAGAAACAAATCTAAAATATATTAAAGTCTGAGAAAAAAAATCTTCCTTTTCTGCTCTTTGATTTTTAAGAGAACACCAGAATTTGGAGGGGAAAAAAAACAACACACAAATTTTTCCCCAACAAAATTTCCTTCTGGTCTGCATATACCGCCTATACCTAGCAGGATGGCACTGTGTATTTTATCTAATTTTAAAATGGCATACTTTGATTTCTGGCAGCACACTTCCTTTGTCCCAACAAGCCTACTACAGGATATAAAAATCCTGTCTTGAAATGCCCTTGACATTACCTCTAAGCCTGCAATCCCCACCCATTTCTTTCCTAGGCTTTTAAGACTGTGATTATCTAAATCTAAAGACAGCTAGTTCAAGAAGGGAACATGTAAACCATTACATGTTTGAAATTCAGCTGGTAAAATAGGACAAGTAAGGACCCAATATCCTCTGAAGACAGTGTGGTTCCACAGGGCAATCCTTCAGTACTCTGCAGAGCCTGGGTGCTGTGGTGCTGCGTTAACGCCACACAATGTGCTTCTAGCTCACACAAAACAAGAACGGCCGAGGCTGGTCTCTCTTATTTCTTTGCACTGACCAATAAAGAAAAAAATAAGGTAGGGTGGGGAGTAGATGATGAGTAACGGTGACAGTAATTTAGCACTACTATTCATCTAGTCTGTTTAGAAGAGCTGCACTGGGCCTACAATAGCCATAATAATTCAAAAATTTTAAGACAAATTTGAGTAGCTTTCCCTGTCTAGCAATGATTGTATTGAACCTATAACCCCAGAATTTAACTTACAAAGTCTCAATCTTAACAAGTAGGTTTTTGGTGCTCACTGGCAAGAGCAGAAAATATAAATTAGATCATTGCAACATTAAAATTTTCTTAATTGCTGTAGCTTAAAAAGAAATTCTAAGTCTTATCAGAAGACTCACATGCTCAAACACAATATCCAGTTAAAAAAAAATCCTGGATAGTCCCTGGGATTTATCAAATGGATTTGACCTAGATCTTCTTTAATGCCAACTAAGCAGTAATACCCATGATTTCACAACAGCTTTCCTTGGAGAGAAAACTGTGGGTCGTGTATGTGTCCCAGTCTAGCAGAAATCTGTGCATGCTTTTCTTCTGACTGCAGTCCTGGGCTACAGATCTGTCTAGGATTTTAGCTTTTGCATTCAACGAGTCCACATTTAGCAAGGTGGAGGGCGAGAGAACATATGTGATAGAGCTTTAATTCTTCTGTTCTTTCAGTTTCTTATAAACCCCTGCTCAGAATCTAAACGGAAGGTCCAGCATCAGGATGCTGAGAACAGCGGAATATTTTAGGGAGCCTGCTGGTAATAACATCCTATTCAAGACTCTTCTCATGTTTGGCAACTAAAAGCTCTAGAAAATGTAAGCAGGAACAAGGATGTAAAAAAGTAGCCTCTGCCCTAATAAAATAGACATGTTTAGTGCTTATCAGCATGCACTCCAAGGGAGTAAAGATTTTGCATGCCAAGTACAATTCAGATTTATCCCTTTCTCATATATGCTTTTCTGGAAACTCACTGAGCTCATATATGGAATGAGAACATGTATGTACATTACTCTGAAAAATCCGAGACTGTGCATTGGCCAGAAATATGAACTAGTAAAGTTAAAGAACCAAGGGGAAAGTAAGGCAGAAAAAAAAGAATTGTGCAGCAATATTAGTATCTTTTAATATGCCTTATCAAGGGTTCAAAAATATATCTAACCAAGATCTTCCTTTCTCAAAAAAATATAATCCCTTCACAAAATAGAATAAGCAGCTGTTAGTCAGGGTAGCTCCATTTAAAAATATATGTGCACTTATGTATAAGTTGCTAGAGCTGAAAATGCCTTCAGATATGAGTCAAGTACTTTTCCTATAAATTTACTACCTAATTAGTGCACCTCTTAAAATATACTTTTAAACAGTTTCGTGCATTTAGGTGAAAATTCCCTCTTGCAAGAGATAAAGAAGCATCTATTTTCCAAAATAGCGATTATTTTCATTCATGTAATTTGATTCTGATCACACAATCGTTGCAACAGTGATTTTTGGAAATATCTGTGGGTGCTTAGAGGATTTATGGGGATAAGAGTTTACATTACCAAAAGGAGCCTAGAACATCCAACTTTTTCTGTAGGTGTTATTACAAAGCACTGAAAGTGACATTTGTGATTCTGCAGCGAAAATCTTAATTCCTTGTCAACCAACATTTCTTTTTTTTTCTTTCTGATCAGAAGACTCTTATATCCTGGCAGACTAATTTAAGGATACAACCCAGGCAGCTTAAAGAGAAGAAGGTCTGAGCAATAGTGGCATCAACTACAACCTAGGACAGATCCAACATTTTCTCTCTGATGGTGCCACTCACTTATCTTTCAGTCATTAAGGAAGCACACCTGTAACAGGTTATAGTACCTCCAGGTGAGTGAGGCAACTGCAGGCAATTCTGAAAATAAGAAAAAACCCACCACAGTTCTGATTTGGTTTAAAGTGATCATGCAGTCCCATTATACCCATGTCTTCCAAGAACACCTTTTCCAAATGCAAGCAAAGTTACTGATGATGCATGTGGCTTCTGTCACAGTGATGCATTAGGTAAGCAGGTGTGCGCTGAGTACCGGGGGCGCTCCAAAATGCATCTCCATCATCTTCCACTTGTCTTCTCTAAGGTTCTGCCTATTTATTAATAATAATTAAAAACAGTCAGTCATTGCACTGTGTTGAAAACAAAATGCATCCTGACAGTAATATTTTAAATATCAGGAACAGAGAAGTTGGGAATCACAATAAATTACCCCCACGTGATTGATAAGAACACATCCTGAACAGTGGTTCTCAACCCTGGCTGCACATTAGAATCACCTGGGAATCTTTTTAAAATCCTGATTTCTGGGCCTCATCCTCGGAAATTCTGTTTCTTTGTTACTAATGTTGTAGCCCCACCCCATAATAAAGAAACAGAATTTTTGGAGGATGAGGCCCAGAAATCAGGATTTTAAAAAGATTCCCAGGTGATTCTAATGTGCAGCCAAGGTTGAGAACCACTGGTTTAGGATAAGAGGCCAGATTTAAATCTCACACATCTGACCTGCCAAATATAAAAGTGAAAAGAAAGCCATGTTTCAACAACTGTCGAGACCCTTCTCAGAGGTCCCATTCACACCTGGGTGAGCAGGGTGTGTGTGGCTCCCCCGCCTCGGGGGCCTGTGCAGCGTGGCCCATGGTGAAGAACAGCGCTGTATGGCCATGCCTCTTGCCCCAATCCCCAGGAGGGCTCCATGCTTCAACCACCAAACAGATACCTGGCATGGAGAGCCTCTGCCCTGCTCCCGCTCGCTCTGGTTGGTCAGTGCCCAGGGTCTACCAGTTGTTATCACCCCCTGAAAGGCAGCGAGCTCTGAAAGCAGAAACTTCTCCAGTCCCTGCTGTGAGTCTATTAAAATAACAAACGTGATGGGCCAAACACTGCTGGCTCCAGCCGGTCAGAGAAGAAAGTGGGTTTCCCCAGGGTTTCCATGCCTTTCAACTTCTCCAGAAGAGTGGGAATCTGTTATTTTAAATATTAACAACTCATTTAAATTCTTTTAAAAGTCTTATGCAGACAAACACATCCTAAAGGCCACCACTGCGGGACCTCCACCTTCCTCTGCCTCCCACCTGGTCTACTTTTGAGAACTGCCCACTGCACCTGTGCCTGTTGAGCCATCAATGTTCTTTTCCTGCCATATCTCTCTTCTGTCTCCTCACTGTGTACGAGCAATTACAGATGCTAATGGGGCCTTTCTGTATTCCCTGGCAGGCTTTCGAGGCCTGTGTTTTATGTGTGTATACTGTAGAGAGGGTAGGGAAGGAGGTGAGAAAAGGAGGCTACCATCTTTTACTGCATGACACCTGTGAATGCTCTCAGGCCTTACACACTGTATACTGAATTACCACCAAGGTAAAATACAAGTAACTAGAATGGAGGGAAATGCTGAACTGCTCTTAAAGATACTCCTATTTCTCCCCCATGAAGATGAATGGAGTATGAATCGTTTAAACCAGCTGTGGGCAAACTATGATCCGGCCCGTTTGAAATGAATAAAACTAAAAAAAAAAAAAAAAAAAGACCGTACCCTTTTATGTAATGATGTTTACTTTGAATTTATATTAGTTCACACAAACACTCCATCCATGCTTTTGTTCCGGCCCTCCAGTCCAGTTTAAGAACCCATTGTGGCCCTCGAGTCAAAAAGTTTGCCCACCCCTGGTTTAAACCCTTCTGGCCCCAAATGGTTCATGTCACCCTGGCCAGTGTGGCTCAGTTCATTGGAACATCACCAAAAAGGTTGTGGGTTTAATTCTCTGTCAGGGCACATATCCAGGTTGCAGGTTCAATGCCTGGTCAGGGCTTGTACTGGGAGGCAACAGATTGATGTTTCTCTCTTGTATCAGTGTTTTCCTCTCTTTTCTTTCTCCCTCTCTCTAAATACCAAACTCTGCACCATGGGTTTTCCACTCTGGTTCCATGTGCTCCTGCTCAGGCACCTGAACATGGTGGGCTGAATGGGTGGGGATGCCCCGAGCCCGCACTGCCTTTGGAAGGTCTGCTGAAATCAAGTAAAGGTCAATGGCATCAAGACCAACTTTAATACTATGACCGCAAGTCATGTGAGAATGCTTCTTTTATCACAGGTTTCTTGAGAAATAT